CCCTAAACCCTAAACCCTAAACCCTAAACCCTAAACCCTAAACCCTAAACCCAAACACCCCCAGGATCCTCCAGAACTTCCGGGGGGAGGGGGGGGGGGGTGGGGGGAGGGAGCAGTAGTATGGCGAGGTGTTCGGGACCGTGGTTCAGGGTTTTGCAAACCTCAACTCCCAACCCTACACCCTCAACCCTACACCCTGCACCCTCGACCCGAAAAGCACCTAAAACACTAAACCTGAAACCCTAAACCCTAAACCCTAGACTTGACCTGGCTCAAAGTTGTTGCGAGGGGCTGTGGGGCCTTAGAGTGGGCGGGTACTCGCAAAGTCTACGCTTCCAGACCGCGCTCTTCAAGCCACATGAAACAGTGTTTATATTACTGTTATTGGTGAGTGTATATAAGGTTCCATTTTCATATTGGTGAGTGTGTATACTGGGTGAACTTTTGGGGATACCAGGAATATAAACCCTACTTCACATGTCCACAGCCTGAGTCCTCGGTTTTCTTTTCAGGGGTTTAGGGGTTTTGGGTTAAGGGTGAAAGGGTTTAGGGTTCAAAGGTGAAGGGTTTCGGGTTTATAATGTAGGGTTTAGGGTTTAAGGGTTTAGGTGTAGGGTGCGCTCGGCAAGGTCGCGCGCTGCTAGGGCGCAGTTGTTTGAAGACATGCCCACCCAAAGGGTTTAGGGTTTAGGGTTTAGGGTTTAGGGTTTAGGGTTTAGGGTTTAGGGTTTAGGGTTTAGGGTTTAGGGTTTAGGGTTTAGGGTTTAGGGTCAGCACTACTCACAGCAACCCAAGCCGGAGCCAGCCGCAACCAAGCCAGAGCCGTTCCAAGTTCCCACTGAGTGCCTCGACCCGACGGTTTTTAAAGGCGAAGGAGAACCCCAAACCCTAAACCCTAAACCCTAAACCCTAAACCCTAAACCCTAAACCCTAAACCCTAAACAATAAACCCTAAACCCTAAACCCTAAACCCTACCCCAACCCCACCCGTGGCCACCCCAGGTTTTGCGTCACCCACGCGTGAAGTGACATGTGGAGGATGTAAACTCCTCCACCATGTCTGAGCCGTGGTTGTGTTAAGCCCCTCAAAATATGAACCCTAAACCCTACACCCTACACCCTAAACCCTAAACCCTAGTTTAAGGGTTTGGGGTTTTTTGTTCATGCAGGTCAGCCTTAAATGGGGTATTACCCTCCTTGTTGGGGTGGTGGTTCCTTCCATAAGGATTTTAGTACTTTCGGTGGTATTCTAGGGGTGCCCTCTTTTGGGAACTCCCCAAATGAACCGTAAGCCGTAAGCCCGTCTAGAGCTTGCCATAGAATCCTTTCTCGCCCTAGCTGGGCCCATTTTTTGAGAAGTGCCAGCCTTTCACTGCAATTTGGCCCTAACGCACAAACTTGTCAAGACTAGACAAACCATGCAGAACCCAAAAACCGTAGACTGCCTAAAACCTTGAACATCCTTGAACCGTAAAATGCCTTAAGACACCAAACCCTAAAAGACAATATAGCTGTTACCCTAAACCCTAACCCTAAACTCTAAACCCTAAACCGTAAACCCCCGTAGCTGCTCATGTTTCTGACCGATCCACGGCTCGCTCAGGGAGAACATACCTTCCTGCCCCGGATACGAGCCCCACATTGGGGATGCCGAAGTTCAGGCAACCTGCCGCCCAGATACGGCCAAAGGTGACATTCCCCCAACAGGAATCGAATCCTGAACCCTCAACCCTAAACCCCAAACCCTCACCCCCCTGTTACACCCTAAACCATGGATTCCCTGCTTGACTCGACTTCTGAAAAAGCACCCGGCCGCGAGGGGTAGGATCCCCTTCTGTAGCTGAGAATAATGAGAAACCGGAGCCATCCCTTTCACTTTCAGGGGGGCCCTTGTTCAATGTCAGGGTTCTCGGGCCCCGTCTCGGGCCACTGCACCTTATCCATGGCATGACATTTAGGCACAGTAGCCCGATCCGTTTACCCAGATGCTCAGGGGGTCCCAAAGTACCACGGAAGCCCTCTCAAAGTCTTGGGAAAAAAGCAGCTAATGCTGCAGCCCCCCCGGCCCCCAAACCGGGGGGTTTGATCTTGCCCTGATGTTGAACAAGCCCCACTCTCCGACTGCTGGGTCTGCGGGCCGGTCAGGCTGGTGCATCAAGGCTCAGTGTGCCCAGATCCTAAAGCGTATGGAAGCCCCTGGTGACATCTCCTTTCCTGTTGGCTTCCAGCCCGCTATGACTCAAAGTGCTGGGTTTAGGGTTCAGGGCCTGTTTGGGGTCTACTTGGAGGCACATGGCTAGATCGAGTTGGGTTTTGGAAGCCCTAAACCCTAAACCCCAAACCCCAATCGCTTCTGCGGCTCTTTGCCCGGCCTGCCCTCGTCCGCGTCTCCGGTGAACCCAGCTCGGACATGGCAGTTTCAACATTCAACGTAGGGTTTAGGGTTTATGTTTAGGGTTTAGGTTTGTTTGCAATGGTTTCTCGGTAACCCTACACTCTACACCTTTAACCCCCAAACCTACCACGCAGGTAGGCCTTGAAGTCCGGGCGCCCCATGGGGCCCAAAAAGCAAGAGGTTTAGGGGTTTAAGGGGTTGCCCTTGAGTCTTCCCCTCCTGGGTTTTAAGGTGTCTTGGTTTAAGAACTTCAGTCAGACTCACAGTGTTTATCATGCCGAACTAGAGTCATCTGAAATTGCCTTTGATTGCTGATGATGGTCTTCCGTTTGAGTTCAGCCCGCGCACAAAAGAGAGGCCGTTGCGCCGCAGCTGCACTGCCCAAGTCTGACGCAACTTTCCTGAACATCACAGCAGCCACTAAACCCTAGTAGTAGAGTATTTAACCTTGGGTTCGGCCGGTCCACACTAACAGTCACCACCAGCAGACCCACAAATAAAAGCACCCGGTAAATGCCAAAAACATGACTGAGATTCCTGCTATTCCTGGTGCTATTCCTGGTGCTATTTCTGGTGCTATTTCTGGTGCATTTTTTTGTGCTATTCCTGGTGCTATTTCTGGTGCTATTTTTTGTGCTATTGTTTGTGCTATTTCTGGTGCTATTTGTTGTGCTATTGTTTGTGCTATTTCTGGTGCTATTTCTGGTGCTGTTGCTGGTGCTATGTGACTAACAATCACCATCAGCAGACCCACAAAAAACAGCACCCGGTAAATGCTAAGCTGATAAAATTGACTGGGATTCCTGGTGCTATTTCTGGTGCTATTGTTTGTGCTATTTCTGGTGCTATTTTTTGTGCTATTCCTGGCGCTATTTCAGGTGCTATTTTTTGTGCTATTGTTTGTGCTATTTCTGGTGCTATTTCTGGTGCTATTTCTGGTGCTATTTCTGCTGCTATGTGACTAACAGTCACCACCAGCAGACCCACAAAAATAAGCACCCGGTAAATGCTAAAATTGACTGGGATTCCTGGTGCTATTTTTGGCCTGTGTGTTATAAGGCCACGGCGTTATTTGACTGTTAGTGTGGACCGGCCGAACCCAAATTTAACCTTTAACCTTTTTGGGGTAATATAACCCCCTTATAATCCCAAAGGTTAACCTTTAGTTCCCCCAGGTTACTGGACAACTAAGAAACACAAATCCTATCGCAAGCCGTGAAGATTGAAACGGCGAGGCACAAATCCGAAAGTTCGCCCTACACCCTCAACACTAAACATTCTCACCTCTAAGACCTCACACTGGGTTGAAAAGGAGCATTCCACAAGACCGTGAAGGCTGGATGTCATGTCCCCACTAGGGTTCCGAAGATGAGTCAAGGGGTTCGGCTCCCTCGGACCTCTGTACCCCAAAAAAACCTCAAAACCCCAAGCCCGAACCCTGCACCCCATGAGCCCCCCCAAATGCCCCCCTTAAACGCCTATACACCCCAGAAAACTCATACACCCCAGAAACCCCAGAAACCCCAAATACCTGCCCCCAAACGCTTAAAAACCCCATACACCCCACAAACCCAGAAACCCCAAAAACCTCCCCCAAACCCTAAACCCCTAAACCCCTCAACCCCTCAACCCCTCAACCCCTCAACCCCTAAACCCCTAAACCCCTCAACCCCTACACCCCTAAACCCCTAAACCCCTGAACACCCATACTCCTAAAAACCCTCGAATGTGGCTCGCAGCGGTCGCTTTGCCTCCCCGCCGCTGCACGCTGCCGATACCACGCGCCTTTGAGAGGCCCCCCCCTTGGGGCGCACGGAGAGGGTTCGTCGCTGCGCTGTAGCCCTAAACCCTAAATCCTAAACCCTAAACCCTAAACCCCAAACCCTAAGCCCTAAGCCTTGAACCCTAAACCCTAAACCCTAGCCCTAAACCCTATAGACCCTAAACCCTTTGTAGGGCTGCGAGAGTGCTCTGAGGGTGGACTGTCTCGCAAGGTGTAAAAGACATTCTTCCTTGTAAGGGGAATATAGGGGTTTTTATCTGGATTTCTTTTTGAGGGAGGGATTCTTTCAGCAACTACAGGCCAAACCCTAAAACCTAAACCCTGGTAGTAAAGGGCACCTGCTCAGAGCTTAGCCTTCTCGAGGTGTCATTTGCGCTTGAGGGTTTTGAGGCTCTAAGATTCCCGTGTTTCGCGTTTGGGGTTTGGGTTTTAGGGTTCAGGGGCTGTTATGGCTTTGAAATCTACCTTTGGGGCGCTCAGTATGTCGTGTGCCCCAGGGCTTTAACCTTAGACCCTGAACCCTGTCAGGGTGTTAAGGCTTTGGTATCCCGGAACTCCTTTGAACCACGCGACCCATGCCATTGAACCCGAAAACTCTGAATGGAACCCTGTAAGCCTAACACCCCACAACCCTGCAAAACCTAACTTCCTAAAATGCCAAACCCCTAGAAGGCCTAGAGCCCTAAACCCTACGACCAGACCCTAAGACCCTTCAAACCCTAAGCCCTACAACCCTTGAACCCAAGATTTCACTCTCGACGTGCGGAAGCTGGGCAGGCGCAGGGCGAAGCCGTCCTCAACGCCTCTCAACTGTGCCAGCTCATGCTTCGCCTGTGCGTCGAGCCCAAACTCGTCCACCTCCTCCGCGCCTCCCCACCAGGTTGCCTGGGGCACGGGCCGGCGCTCATGGATGCGACCTTGCAGGCCGCCTTTGCCAGCATTACGGAACTGGGCCCGCTCCAGCCTCACCACCTGGAGCAAATGTCGCTGCCTGTGCAGCAAGGAGGTTGCGGCATCGGGGCCCTATCTCTCAAGCATGGCGCAGCCTTTGCAGGGAGCTGGGCGCTGTGCCTTGCCCCGGTCTTAGCGCGGCTTCCTGTAGCAGATGCCGCCGGCATCATGACAGCCCTGCAGGTTAACGACAGGACCCATCCCGTGGCAGCGTCGCTCCTACTTGCGCAAGACGTGCTGCGCACCAGCGGCGTATCGTCTGCCAAGTTGCCTGACTGGGGCGCGGTTGCCAAAGCGCCACGTCGGGGCTGTCAGCACACCCTCTCCGCTGCTGCCGCCGTCGCCGCCAGAGAACGCTTGCTCGCCGGGCTCGAGCTGCGCGACGCAGCCCGCGTCCGGTCTTGCGGCGGCGACGGAGCCGGGCAGTTCCTTGTATGCCCTGCGCGCGAAGGCTGGCGTACTGAACTCTTCGATGGAGCGTTCTGCCACGCCGTTCGCTGGCGCCTGGGTGTGCCGACCACCTCAGCGGGCCAAACCTGCCACATCCGCTGCCAGGCGTCGGGCGGACGCTGTGCACAACCACTGGACCCGCTGGGCCACCACGCAGTCGTGTGCAAATACGGGGGATTCAAAACGTTTCGCCACTCCCGTCTTGTCCACGAACTGCGCGGTGTGCTCCGCGAGTCCGGGGCCGTTGTGCCGGCCCGTGAAGTTGAGGTGCCCGGATGGCAGCGTGCTGACGGCACGCGGGCGCGGCTAGACGTCGCGTTCGCGTGGGCAGGCCGTGAGTGCTATGCAGACGTCACCATCCGGCACCCATGCGCCGCCAAGTATGTCCGACAGGCGGGTGCGCAGGACGGGGCCGCGCTTCGTCTTGCGGAGGCTGGAAAGCGGTCGCGCTACCCTGCGGTCGCCGCCGCGGGGCTGGATGCGGTCGAGCCCTTCGCCGTTGAGACGTTCGGCCGGCTCGGGCCGAACGCGGTGCGCCTGCTCCGGACGGCGCGGCAGCAGGCTGCGGAGCAGCAGGCCCCGTATGCTCGCTGGACGGGCACTGCCTTGCACCAGAAATGGCTCGCGTCCCTCAGCTGCTCGCTTCAGCAGGCCCTGTATGAGGCCTCGAGAGCTAGCTGGGGGTCGCGGGCCATCGCCCCTCCCGAAGCAGACCTGAGTGGGTTCGGGCGTTAGGGGTAGGTTGGGCCGTGCGTGGCACTTTTCGTGTCCCCCAAGCCTGCAGAGCCCTTAATGCCTTTTAAATGGTGTTTTCAAAGCTTGATATTGGCCTTCGTTTTTTTACATTTTCAAGCATGTTGACGAAATCATATTCCAACAGGTTTTTCACTGAGAACGCACGGCACGTGTTCCAGCTTCCGTATTCAGTAGAAGCCGCTGCACGTTGAGCCGTCATATCAAGCCCTGATCATGAGCTTGCATCGTTTCAACTTGTTCTTGTTTTGAAACAGGTGTTCCAGCTTGTGCATTATAGGCGACATCTTAAGCCAGCGGCTATTTGTCAGGCAGGTGTTGATTCTTCTGATGTGCCTGCAAGGTTGGTCTTATGCGGGCTTGCCGTAGACGGTGCCCTTAAACGTGCCCTTAAACTGGCGCCCTAAATTCTGAAGAGAAGATCCAATTGACTTCGAGGTCCTCAGGCACTACGGGCGAAGCCCCCCGCTCTAGGTGTTCAGGAAGGTGCCCTACAATGCTTCATTGAGAGCTGCAATGACCGCTTCAAGGGCGGCTTTACGGGCGGCTTCTCGTGTGGAGTTTACGGGCAGCTTTGTGGGCGGCATTACGGGCGGACTTTAAGGGCGGCTTTGCGGGCGGCTTTATGGGCGGACTTTACGGGCGGACTTTACGGGCGGAGGTTACGGGCGGGTGGTTTGGCTGGCGGGTGTGGCCGGATGACCTCCAGTCAGGACGGAGGCTGCTGGGCGCATGGGCCGTTTTTGATCTCGATGTATCTCCTGCAAAGTAAATTTTCGAAGAAAAAATCAGGAAAATTACAGGCGCATATGCTCTGCAGGGCTGGGGTAGATGACACTTTCTCTAGTCTCACACAGAGACTCCAAGATTCTTTAAAGTAAGACATTGGGCCATTGGAGTTGTCATGTTATGCCAGGGGACACGAGACAACGCAGATTTCACCTCCATGCCGCCCAGGGCCATGAAGACTTTGCTGACGGAGGCTGGATGGCCCAGGGTTTAGGCTTGATGGGGTTCATAGGGTTCAGGGTAACCCTACACCCCATTCCTAAACCCCAAACCCCAAACCCCAAACCCTAAACCCCAAACCCTAAACCCTAAACCCTAAACCCTGAACCCTAAACCCTAAACCCTAGGGTTCAGGAGGAACCCTAAGGTTGCACTCCTGGAGGGCTGCAGGGGGTCATATTGGGAGTGCCCTAAACACTGAATCCATAGCCCTCAACGGTTTAGGGTTTAGGGTTTAGGGTTTAGGGTTTAGGGTTTAGGGTTTACCCTATACACCCTAAGCCCTAACAGCCCGAATTGTCTGGGCTCCTGAATGCCTTAACCCTAAAGCCCTCAAGCAACACCTGCAGCATCGCGGCTTGGCCAGACTTCCTCTAGCACAGCGCACCCTGTGGCTTACTACTGGGATTCACCGATGCTCCGCGTCAAGATGCTGTCGGGGGAAGAGTTGGCGAGAGTGCCGCTGCAGGATGGGCTGTGCGACGTGAAGGGCTTGAAGCGGCTCCTACACCAGCAGCACGGCCTGCCCCCACGCTTCTCACAACGGCTACTTTTCCGGGGCCAGATCCTGGATGATGCCACCAAGCTAGACTTCCCTATGGAGCTGGAGTTGGTATTGCTCTCATATTGCGCATCCCCACGGACGGAGGAGCTGCTTTCCGCTGCATCCCGTGGCTCGGTGGCTGAGGTCGGGACCCATGCAACTAGTTGTCGGTTCTAACTAGATTAACTAGATTGTAAATTCAGGATGTGGGAGCTTGGGATGTTTTGGGGTTTGCAATGCACTGCAGGTTGAGTCCCTGCTGCAGCATCCCACTCACCCGGACGTGGCCAACGGCAGCAATATCCCGGCGATTCTATTTGCATCGCACTACGGCCATGTGGAGGTCGTTCGTCTGTTGCTTGAGGCCGGTGCTCATTTCGACTTGGCCGATGACCCTGGCTACACAGGTCTGCTAGTAGCATCTCAAGCCGGCCACATTGAGGTGGTGCGTTTGTTGTGTGAGGTCGGCGCTCATATCGACTCGGCCGACAACACCGGTGCCACGGCTCTGTTTCTGGCATCTCGAGAAGGCCACGTTGAGGTCGTTCGTCTGTTGGTTGAGGCCGATGCCCACATTGACTTGACCGACAACAATGGCTTCACGGCTTTGATTGCGGCATCCCAACAAGGCCAGGTTGAGGTCGTGCGCTTGTTGCTTGAGGCCGGTGCTCGCAGCGACTTGGCCAGCAACCGCGGCGACACAGCTCTGCAACGGGCATCTCAACAAGGCCACCTTGAGGTCGTGCGCTTGTTGCTTGAGGCCCATGGTGGTGCTAACATCGACTTGGCCGACCGCCACTAGGTCCGGTTCTCTGCAATGGGCATCTCACAATGGCCACATTGAGGTCGCGCGGGTGCTTGCATCGGGTCGGGTGTTGTGACCACCGCTGGGTAGACCACAGGAAAGACGGATGAGCAGCATTCATGAAAGCAGCACAGGTTTCTGTGATCATACTACCACTGTGGCAGTGGCGCCGCCAACATTCCTCAATTGTCAGCCTTGACCATGTAAGCCTTCAGCGTAGGGTTGAAAAGTTCAGGCTAGTTTCGGGTGTTAGGCCTCAGAACCCCAAACCACGAACCCTCCACCCCAAACCTAAACCCTACCAGAACAAAACCCCCTAAAAGCTCCCGAAACTGCAAACCCCAAAGCTGCTATACACGCCAAGCCCTAGAAGCCTCTTGACTTCAAAGAATCTTGCTGCCGTACCTTCTTGCTGCTACTTGCCCTTACCTCGAACCCGAAGCCTTGCCCCTAAAGTGCCCTACAGTCGCAGACCCCTCAAACCTGCTCTGAAGTCCTAGATCCGGTGCCCTCGCCTTATGGCTGTAGGAGAGGGCCTGACAAGACCGAGCCTCCTCCATTTGTGCTTAAACCCCCGCGACCCCTCAAGGCTATGGCCATCACACCCCAAAACCAGAGCGCCCTTAGGCCCAACTATTAGGGCCCTGAAAACCCAGCAACTGCACACCTGACTCCCCTCATCGCGAGGAGACCGTGCAGGTGCCAAAGGGCCCGGACCCTGGGGTTTTGGTTTGAGCGTTTAGGGTTTAGGGTTTAGGGGTTAGGGGTTTAGGGCGTGGTGCTTGAGACACAGGATTTGGGTTGTTTGTTGTTTTTCTTTGAGCGGGGAGGGTGTTTTGGGGGTCACGAGGTTTAGAGTGTATGTGTGTGCGTGTGTGTGTGTGTGTGAACCCTAAACCCTAAACTCTAAACCTATTTTGGGTTGGATGGGCATCTTGCCGCGGGGGGGCCTCTGTCGAAGAGGAGTTCAGCGGGTTGATCTAATTTTTTGGCGAGTTTTGGTACACCCACTGTTTTGCTGCAGATGATGCCAGAAGAGGTCTTGTCTGCTTTTGGGTTAAGCGTGTTGTTTTGGTTGTCAAACATATGCTCCGGTTGCTTATGCTTTTGGTCTGCAGCAGTTTAGGCGAGTCACGGCACCAGTCAGAAATTTTTGATTGCTTGCGGTTTCGGCTCATTGCAGCTGCTGCTAGCATCGCTTCGATCGCGTGGAGCCGTAGAGATGTGTATAGGGTTTAGGTTGGGATGTTCCCCCTTATACTCGCGGTCCTTAGTAGGGATGATGCTAGGGGGTACTAGAATCCCGATTAAGGACTGCTAGTATCAGGGGGAACATCCCAAGGTCTAGGGCTTAGGGTTTAGGGTTTAGGGTTTAGGGTTTAGGGTTTAGGGTGTAGGGTTTAGGGTTTAGGGTTTAGGGTTTAGGGTTCTTAGGGTGTAGGGCTTAGGACTGAACAAATCTTCCGACGTTGCAGACCCGGCCCAGATGGCCCCCCAACCCCCCCCTGAATTCGGGAATGCACCTTAGGGTTTAGGGTTTAGGGTTTAGGGTTTGGGTTTAGGGGGTTTAGGGTTTAGGGTTTAGGGTACAGGGCTTCGGGCTCTTTGCACAGAGTCGTTCAGCCAGACTTGTGCGCATGCACAAATTGTTAAGTCGAAACGATTCAAGAGCCGAACTTGAACTAAGATGCCGAGTAGTGCCGTGATGCCCTGTTTCAGGGGTTTAGGGCCAGGTTTCCTTTGAAGCCGATTAAGAGAAGCAGCAAGGCCCTTATTTGATTCTTAGGTTGCTGGGAACCTTTTGTTTCGGGTTTGTTTCTGGTAGATACAGGGCCGTTATTTCGGGTTCAGGGCCTATGGGTTTAGACTCACTGAGGCTTCTATAACTTCTGGCTTCAGGGTTTAGGCTTCAGGGTTTTAAACCCCAAACCCTAAACCTTAAACCCTAAACATGGGTGTTGGCATGGCTTTGGGCTGGAGGGCTTGGGGGCCCGAAAAGGGCGTGAGGGCTTAAGCGCTAAGGTTGGGGGGTGGGGGGGGGGGGGGGGGTTAGGAGGCTTAGAGAAACCCTACACCCTAAACCCTAATTAAACCCTGAACCCCACGCTCTGGAGCGTGTGCCAGGTATCAAGATCACCATCAAGTCCAAGGTTGTGGAGGTCCCGAAGCTGTATCAGTATCCTTTAGGGACTTTAGGGTTCCGGCGCCTAAACCCTAAACCCTAAACCCTAAACCCTAGACCCTAGACCCTAGACCCTAGACCCTAAACCCTAAACCCTAAACCCTAAACCCTAAACCCTAAACCCTAAACCTAAACATCCAAACCTGGGTTTCGGGTTGAGGGCCGTTTCTGTTGTTGTTTTTGCCAAGCCGTGTTTCCAATATCCTAAGTCTGTCATATTCTAGGACCCAGGGTGCGGCCCTTATTCCCTTTGTTTTTGCGCTTCGGTTCCCTTCTAGGCACCCTTTAGGGTTTCGGGTTTAGGGTTTAGGGTTTAGGGTTTAGGGTTTAGGGTTTAGGGCGGGTGGTGGGGTGTCTCTTCAGCCTTTCCTGGGCTCACTTGCTCCCAGGAGAGTGTTGCGTTGCATTTCCGGCTTAGGGCCTCAAAACCCTAGACCCGAAACCCTGCAACCCTAAACCCCAAACCCCAAACCCCAAACCCCAAACCCCAAACCCCAAACCCTAAACCCTAAACCCTAAACCCTAAACCCTAAACCCTAAACCCTAAACCCTAAACCTTGCACGAAGTTACACGTCACAGCGAACCCCCAGCCCGGCACTCCAATGCCCTAAACCCCAGCTAAGAAGAGCGCACCCCCTTCCACCAGAACCCTTAAAAATTGGCTTCGAGGGCTTGCTGATGGTTTAGGGTTTCAGGTTCAGGGTTGTGGGTTTAGGGTTTAGGATTTCGGGTCTAGGGCTGTGGATTCCGAGTTCCCTAAATCCTAACCCCATTTTTAGGGCTTATTGGGTTTATGTCAGCTATGTGCCCTCGAAACCCTAAACCCTAAACCCTAAACCCTAAACCCTAAACCCCAAACCATCAAGGTGACCGGCAAGCATGGCTCCCTGAAGAGGGACTTCAAGCACCTTCCCATTGAGATCTTCCTCTCCGACGGCGGCAAGAAGGCGTAGGGGTTGAGGGTTGAGGGTTTAGGGTTTAGGGTTTAGGGTCCCAGTTTAGGGTTGACTAGTAGGGCCTAGGGTCTAGTGCTGGAATCTAGAGCTTAGTACTGCTTGTAGTAGGGTTTAGGGTTGACTGATGTTTCAGTGCTACTAGCGGTTTAGCGATTGGTGCCATTAGGCATTGTAGGGCAGCTGGCTTTCAAGTTCAGCCTGAAGCCTGATCCCGGCGTAGCCTTAATTAGGGTTTAGGGTTTCGGGTTTAGGGTTTAGGGTTTAGGGTTAAGCTCAGGAGGCGATCTGGTTGTTACTCTGTCCTGTCAGTTGCGGTGCAAAGACCAGAGGCAAGAATTCTTCAGTGTGTTCGCCACCCCTTGAGTCGCCGTCTCTCTCTAAATCTCCAAATTTCCAATTTTTTAAATTTACCAATTTCCTGTTTCCTTGGTTTCCTTAGCCGCCCTAATCCCTAAACCCGAAAACTTCTTTGGGAAAGAGTCGAGATGAGTAAAACCTTCAAGGGGCCCAACCGGTGCAGGTGGTGGCGCGCATGTACTTCGCCAAGAGCAAGCAGTGCTCCATGCTGAACAGTGCGCGGCCCTCTGAGTGTTGCTCGAGTCCCCTTGTAGTAGTTTTTTTTGGCTGGGGGATCAGGGTTTAGCTGTTAGGGCTCAGGGATTTGGTCGTTCATGTTACGCCCAAGGGAATTTTGAGCGTACAGTTTGTTCTTGAGGTTGTATCGGGAGTATAGATTGCTCGGGCAGAATGAAACCACCTGAAGCGACTATCTATGGACCCCCAGACCCGACAACCCTAAACGACAAAGCCTGAAAAACGATGAAGCCCCATTCCCAAGCCATAAACCCTTGGGGTTCTGGGTTTAGGGCGTTATAGGGTTCAGGGCTTAGGGCGTTATAGGGTTTAGGGTTTAGGGTGTTATAATACAGGGGTTTAGGTGCTGGGGTTCTTGGGTTGAGAGATCCCTGAGGCTTGGGCACGTAGGAGTGTAGGCTTCAGCTTTCGGGTTCGTGGGGTTTTAGACACAAGACTTCTCCCGGCCTCCCCACGGCAATTTCCTGAGACTGGCCTACATCTCAAGCTGCAGCGCACCCTAAGCATTCATTTCTTATGGAAGGAGTCCTAAACTCCAAAACCAGGAACGAGAATCTACTAGTTAAGAGACTATTAAAGGGTCCCCCCTAGTTTCGTAAACCCCCATATGGTTCCTCGGATGCAGACTTGCTATGCTTGGGGGCACTTGTGGCACAGGGTTTGCAGCGCAACCCTGCGATTTTGGGGTTTGGGGCTGTGAGGCAGGACTTTGTTCGGGGGGGTTTTGGGGTTTGAGGGCTGAGGGCATTGGGACCTTAGGGTTTCGTCTTCAGGGTTCAGCATGTAGGTCATTGGCTTTTGAGTTTTTGGAATGTTTGACTCCGCAAGGTCTGCAGTCACATTGCCAACCTCTTCGAGGCGTGTCGTTGAGTTGGCGAAGCAGCCTGGACCCTCAAGCAAAACCTCTAGGCCTTACAAGTCCTTGAAAACCCCTGCAAATCCCTTAAAACCCCCAATCCTGCTGTTATGTAAGGCATTAGTATATTGAAACCTTTTCTTATAGGATTCTTAGGTATGAGGCTCCTGAGGTAAAGCGGAATAAGGCTTCAGATGTAACGTTTGGGCTTCATTTTCTTTTGGAGGCTGAATGTGGGACATTGAACATGGGATTTACAACTAAAGAAGACGCCCTCACATCCACTCGGAGGAAAGGGTTTAGGGCTGAAGGTTCAGGGCTTGTCCTTTTCAGATCAGGTTGAGGGTTTTCGGGGATTGTCTTTCAGGTACGACGGTAACTGCAGGCTTACGTAGTAGCTGTGATGCCCGCATTCGGATTGAGCTGCGCAAATGCCTGACGTCAGCCAACCTTCCAGGACCCTGGGCTGTCTGCATGGAAGTCTCTTGCTTGGTTGCTGCAGGGTTCCGGAACCTATTTTTTGAACCCCCTGAACTGGCCCTGAACCCCAGGCCCTAAACCCTAAACCCTGAACCCTAAACCCTAAACCCTCAACCCCTCATGTTGGCTGTGGCATGGCCCATATCAGGGCGTGCAGCACAAGTTCGAGTACAAGATGCGCCTGGCGCGGCCCCTGACGGAGCGTCGAAGGGAGCCAGGATCATCAAGGGTTTTAGGGTTTTCGGGTTTTAGGGTTTTAGGATTTTAGGGTTTTAGGGTTGTAGGGTTTTAGGGTTTTAAGGGTTTAGGGCTTTAGGGTTTTAGGGTCTTAGGGTCTTCGGGTTTTAGGGTTTTAGGGTTTAGGGTTTAGGGTTTTAGGGTTTAGGGTTTTAGGTTTTAGGGCTAAGGGTTTTAGGATTTCGGGTTTAGGGTTCAGGTCTTTCAAGGGATTAAGACTCGTACCCCTAAGATTGTACCCCTAACGGTTGCCCTTAATATGCGCCTAATATGGCCCTTACATTCCCTTAAGGCTCTTTAAAAAGGGTCCCCAAAACCCAAGGGTACCTTAAGGGTCCAAAGCAAAACCTTTAGATATCATGTAAGGGCCGAGCTCGAGGTGTTTAGTGCGGATGAGAGGGCGACATCAATAGTACTCCTTTATGGTTCCTATATACTTCTACTAAAATAACCCCCCCCCCCCCCAAAGCCCTATTCTAATCATTAAGGCCCTGATATTCAGCTCTAAGGCCCTGAACTTCTTCATTCCCGAATCTAGAATCTACAGTACCTCTGAGGCAGCCTGAGGGGAAGTCTACCCAAACCGCTGAACCTTCGAGACAAAGGTGTATGCGCACTTCCCCATCAATGCCAACATCATCAACGGCGGCAAGGCGCGAGATTCAACCTCAAGGGACCTTAAACCATCTGGGTTTTGGAGTACTATACTTTAATACTTTTTTCGTTCTGGACTCCTATTAGTGCTACCTATACTTTTTTCCCAGGGTCTACTCCAAAGCTAAGCCCTAGACCCTGTTCCGGGTCTACAAAGGAAGCCATCATCCCCCAGGCAAGGGTGACCTAAGTTTCCATGGTAATAAGAAAAAAGCCCTGCGCTGACGTGACACTGAAAAGGGACTAGAATTTAGAGAGCAGACCTGCAGGGCTTTCGGGTGTTCAGGTTTGGGGTTTTTGGGCGATAGGCCATCCCTTTTCAGCGTTGGATACGCAATGTTTTTTGCAGGCCATGTGAAGGTAGAGGCTTAGGGGCTTCCAGGTTTAGGGTTACCCTAAAGCCTAAACCCTAAACCCTAAACCCTAAACCCTAAACCCTAAACCCTAAACCCTTTGAAGCCCCTGGCAAGTAGGCCCCGTAAACCCTCGACCCCCCCCCCCCCCCTTCTCAAGCCCTAAACCCTAAACCCTAACCCTAAGCCCTAAGCCCGAAACCCTAAACCCTAAACCCCCTCTCTCAAGCCCCGGAGTGAAGGGGCCCTGAACCCGCCAGACCATCGAGATCCGAAACTTCCTGGGTGAGAAGGTGGTGCGGACTGTGCCTCGCCTTTGAGGGGCCTTCAAAGGGTTTGGGGTTTAGGGTTTATAAAAGGGTGACCAGGCATGAGAAGGCAACCAGACGCTCCAATTCCTTCGCAACAGCTGGAATATTGATAAAAGGGTTTGGGGTTTAGGGTTTAGGGTTTAGGGTAGCTGTTGAAAAGGCAGGTGCCCTTTGTTGTAGCTTGAACAGGACCTTTAGTCCCAATTGAACGGGTAAGGGTTTTAGGGTCTATTTGAAGAGGTAGGGCTGTGCAGCACGCGCTGCTCAATTCATAGGGTTCCAACCACCAGTCGAACCTCCAAGTGGTAATTTACGGTTTGGAGTTGCTTGGGGTACTTCCGAGCACAAGGACAGAAGTGTGAGACCTACTGAGCGCATGCCACCTCCACAACCCCGATGGGGGTTTGGCTATCAGAGTGTTTGTACAGGGCTCAGATAGGGATTTCGACAGCAAGGCGCTCGCCATCGGCCTCCGTTTCAGGTCCGTCGCGGGGAGTTCCTGAGCCGAAATCATAAAGAGTACTGCGATGTACCAAAGAGACCTCAAAACGGGATCCTGAGGTGCACATGCTGCCTGGCGTGACCGTGGAGAAGAGTGCCTCCACCAAGGACTGCTAGGATTCAGGGTCTAGGGTTCGGAGCCTTCCATGAGGTGCGGAGGTCGGCCCTCGGGCCGACGTGCGACAACCACGCGCCTCGGCCCTGCGCATGTACACTCGTAAGCTTCAAGCAGCTTCAGGGCGATCAGCCTGAACCCTAAACCCGGAACCCTCAACCCTCAGCCCTAAACCCTACTCGGCCCGATATTTCAACCAGTTACCCCCCTATAGGGGCCCCTATATCACCCCTGAACAACAACATCATACCCTAAGGCTCCAGATGTATACTTGGACCGCTAGGGGTAGAGTTCCCTCGGGCAAGAAAGCCTCAACACCCATAACTTGGAGGCTCAGGAATATCTGCTGACACAAGAAGCAAGAAAAGCGTGCCGTGCGTCTGAGGTCTGAGTGCAGTTCCTGCTTTCCTGAGTTGGGCGCAGCTGGGTGTCGCAGCATCTCTCGCTTGGCTCAGATACTGAAACCCCAACAGTACTTCATAATCCGGATATTGAATTTTCCATGTCGACATGCAAGATGACGCGGTCGCGGGCCGCATTCCTGGCTGTTGCTGCACTGGCCAGCAGCACTCCCTGTGAAGGGTCGGACCTGGACTCGCTCTTCCACGTCCCGCTGCAGAAGCAGTACCTTAGGGATTCTTGGGAATACTTTTTAAGTTTTGGGGGCCATGTAGTTCCTTAGGAAAAGCTAAATTATGATTATTGCTAGGGTTCCAAGTTCAGCATAGGTACGTGCCCATAAGGCGCGACGGCAACGTCGTGTCTTACAAGACAGCATACTCTGGTCAGATCTACGTAGGTTTCCAGCAGACGCAGAACTTCTCAGTTGTCTTTGACACTGGCTCCTTTGGCTGAAAGAGGCACAAAATTTTCATTTCTTTGCTTGCAGTCCCTTAGTTCTCACCCCAAAATTAGGCCAGACGTACTTAGGGCCTAGCCTGGCCCTCTCTGAACCTCTGCAACAAGCACCGAAGCCATAGACTTCCCTGCAAGCCAGAAAGAAATCTTCCGCAAAACCCTGCTTCCAAGACTTATAAACCCTTGACATTCTAAAACCCAGCACCCTGAGAGCCCCCAGACCCTAAACCCTAAACCCCTAAACCCTAGACCAGGTTCTGGGCATTTCTTCCTCCCATCAGTGGACTGCACGTCCGAGTCGTGCCGGTCGCACCGGCAGTGCCTGGATTATTGAAACAGGCGAAAACACTTTGTAGTAGAGTAGGTATTCTTTAATAATCCCAAAGGTTAACCTTTAGTTCCCCTAGGTACTGGACAACTAAGACCATGAAATTCAAGGCTTGGGGTTCTTGAAAACTGAAAAGGCATGGGTCTGGAAGGGTCTTACCCCTAACTCGGGAAACACATCAAAAGTTGAGCAGTTCCAAGAACAGTTGAGGTACGACGTCGGCAAGTCTTCCACGGCCAGGTTCGTAGACCATGAGGGCGCCAAGGCAGAAAACAACGAGGATGAGGCGGATTTAGGGGGTTTGGGGTGTAATATAGGGGTCGAATATTTACTACTAGTATCCCCTTCTGGTCCCTTTATAAATATACTACAATGACCCCCAAAACCTTATTCTAATTATTAAGGCCCCCTATATGAGGTTTTGGTTTTGAAGCTTCATAAGCAGGCAGGGAAGTTGGGCTTTAGCTTTCTTGGGCTACTTGAAGGTTCGTGAGTGCCTGCAAGTGGGGTTGTAAGTAGGTGTTTATAGGCCCCCAAAACCATGCAGTGCAATGTCCACCGGAGCTCGTAATCGCTCCCCCCCTTGCTGAAAAACCTCAACCCCAGACCCCAAACCCCCCCAAACCTCAAAAACTCCTGCTGTAAACCCTATACGCCCCAGAACCCCTACACCCTAAACCCTAAACCCTATTTAGCCCACCCTATACTCCCTAAGCCCCTAACCCAACCAGGTGGCGATCACCTTCGGCACCGGCAGCATCCGTGGAAACTTTGTCGAGGAGCTGGTGTGCTTCTCGGAGCCCCGAGGCGTGAAGATCCCTTCAGGGCTTAGGGCTTAGGGTTATAGAGCTCCCTGAAAAAGATTCTATTGAATGAGCCCCCAACCCTAAATTCTTCAGACCGGTTTGACCCTCTTGAGCTATTCGACATCCCTGAACCCTAAACCCCAAAACCATAAACCACAAACCACAAAACCTAAACCACAAACCACAAACCCTAAACCCCAAACCCTAAACCCTAAACCCCAAACCCTAAACCCTAAACCCTAAAGAGGCCTGCAGGCGCAGCCGGACAATGGCTGCGCTCGCGTGAACCTGGTGACAGCAGCCCGCCACGAGGTTTTCCTCCCCCCCCCCCCCCCCCCCGGAACCCCCTTTCCCCTTGATGCGGTTTAGGGTTTAGGGTTTAGGGTTTAGGGTTTAGGGTTTAGGGCTTAGGGTTAAGGGTTCCTCAAACTAGAAGGGAGCAGACCACCCCGGACATCCACAAAGAGCACTTGTTGAGATGGCCCCACAAAGAACTCCCCTCAACAAGGGCAGGGGGCTCCTTATTCGGGCGGTTTCGGTCGGATTTCGCGGCTTGGGTTCAGGGATCATAAGCCTTCGGGTTGTGGGCATTGTGGGGAAGGTATGGGCGGAGTTTAGGGTTCGTAGGGCTTGAGGTTGGAGTGGCAGTAGTAGCAGCAGTGAAGTGCAGGAGTAATTTCAGGTGCATGGCACTGCTTCAATCCTACCAATCCTTGACTATCTACCGACCTATCTATCTATATTCTCTCTATATATATGTATGTATATATACAGTATACATCTCTACATATTCATGTTTGATCTTTCTACAAAGGACCCATGGTTTAGATCACCCAGAACCCCCAAAACCCCAAAAAACCCGAAACCCGCCATCTGAGGCCACGGAGATGTCTGCGGAGCCGTTCCAGAGCTTTACCTTTGATGGCGTCGTGGGCTTAGGGCTCAAGGCGCTGGCAGTGGAGCCGAACTTCAGCATCTTTCAACAGCTGGCCAAGAGACTTGTCCCGAGAGCAGGGTTTAGGGTTTAGGGTTTAGGGTTTAGGGTTTAGGGTTTAGGGTTTAGGGTTTAGGGTTTAGGGTTTAGGGTTTAGGGTTTAGGGTTTAGGGTTTAGGGTTTAGGGAGTCGGGTTTCGGGTTGCAGCGTTCAGGGCTCAGTCAGACCTGTCCCTTACCAGGACCCCTCCAGTGGCCCCCTCGCCACCCCCTCCCCCTCCCCCAGATGTCTTCTTTTTTTTTTTTTTTTTGGGGGGGGGGGGGGGGGGAGTGGCGGGGAGGTTTCCTTATGACACCCATCCAGAAAACCTGATTGGTGCTTGGGGAGAAGCGTGGCTTCAGTGCTCAAGAACTGTAAGGTTCGAAGTTTAGGTGAGGGTACATAGCCTAAACCGACGCCCTGATCCTTGCGGACCCAAGTGGGTCTTCGGCATTTAGGGTTTTAGGGTTTTAGGGTTCAAGTGCGTGGTCCGCCACCCTAAATCCTCAGCTTCACGCGCCTGTGCAAGTTCAGGATCTCCCACTCCAGCTTCTTGCCGCAGTTTGCCTACTTCATCTCCGAGCATGACCACGTGCCCAGCGAGATCAGCTCCTAGATTCTTTGGGGGGGTTTAGGGTTTAGGGTTTAGGGTTTAGGGTTTAGGGTTTAGGGTTTAGGGTTAGGGCTTTAGGGGTTTCGGGGGTTTTAGGGGTTTTAGGGCTTTAAGGCTTTCAGGTTGAGAGAGCTTCTAGGGTTTACGGGCTAATCTATGGGTTCTATAAGGATCCCGAGCTAGATTTTAAGGATATCCATCCTTGCCCTGCGACTAAGGGCAGCGTAATAACGTTTAACAAAATAGCATAGGTACCGGCGAAACTTATTGAACGCGTTTTGGCGGCAGGTTGTAATATCACTGGTGGAAACAAGGGGGGGGGGGGTATTTCGTAATGGAACCTAGCGGAGGACCCCAACACCCTGAAGATCCCACAGGTGCTACGCTGGTTCAGGCCCTGGACCCCTTAACCTTTCAAGGCCCTCGAGCCCCTAAAGCCCTGAGAGTCTAGAATCGGAGACGACACCTTATAACTTGGGATGTTCCCGCTTATACTAACAGTCCATAATGGGGATTATACCCCCTGTTCTAATCCTTATGAAGGACTGTGAGTATAACCTGCAGCCCCCCAAAAAGCCCTGGCAGGTTCAATCATGGAAGCCCTACAGTACAGCCCCGGCAAAAGCCCCCAAAGCCTCTCTGAAAGACAAGCAAGTCCCGGGCTAAAAGCCTCAGCCCCTAAAGCCCCTAACACCCTTCAAGCTAAATCCTGAAATCCCTCAAAAGCCCCCTAAATGCCCCTTAAACGCCGCTTAAAAGCCCTCGAACGCCCTTAAACACCCTTAAGAGCCCTTAAAACCCCCTTCCACTTGAAAGCCAAAAGCAAAAAACAAAAAGAGCCACAAGCCCAGGCTCAAGAGCCCTTAAGAGCCCTGAAAACTTAAGCCCTTAAAACCCCCTTGAGACCCACTTTCTAAAACAAAAAGAGCCAACAGCCCAGGTTTTGAAACCCTAAACCCTAAACCCTAAACCCTAAACCCTAAACCCTAAACCCTATACCCTATAAACCCTACACCCTAAACCCTAAACGCCACAAGCCCCAGGTTTCGGAGGCCACAACCCACATAGGATGCAGTCGGCGCTGCGCTGGGTGCCCGTCTTCAAGCCGGAGCGTTTCGGATCCAAGGGTTTAGGGTTTAGGGTTTAGGGTTTAGGGTTTAGGGTTTAGGGTTTAGGGTAGCCCTTACTGTACGGGTCGGAGTAATTGCTCAGAATCTTCCCTTTATGCTCCCTGTATAGTTCTACTGTACTCACCCCCAAAGCCCTGTGTTGAAATCATTAAGGCCCCAAAATCCTAAACCCTATAATATGGCGCTTAAGTAGGGAGCAGGATTTGGTCTTTAGGGTTTGGGGCCTTTGAGGGTAGAATATGATTTCAGGTAGATGCCTTCAGGAGTCTTGGCAGGGTGCAGAAAACCGCACCAGGGCGAAGGTGGGGGGGGGGGGGGGGTTCACGGAGGGCTTTGGCATTGAGGGTTTCGGTGTTTTGGGGCTTTGGGTTTGGTAACCCTACCGAAACACCCTAAAAACCATAAAAACCCTAAACCCAAAGTCCCGAACCCTGAAACACCAAAGCCCCTCAACCGAAGCCCCTGAAAGCCGTAAACCCCTAACCCTTTATGCCTATACCCTTCAGACCCTTCTGATATTCCTCTTACATAGAATATTCTTAGATTATCTTCTGAATATAATCCTCGTTACCTACTCCTCTCGTATACCCTCATAAGACCCACCCGTTTCTACAATTTTTACTTATACACAAGCCCTCTTCATAATCCTCTTAAACATACCTTTAGAATTGAATACTCTTAAGCGTCCCTGAGTGCCCTACTGAGGTTGGGCTTCTGGCAAGTTCGGATTCTTCGGGTCAGCGTCGCTGGCAAGGAGCTGGGGGCCTTCTTACTTGGGTGGGCCCCTGAAGGAATTGGTTGGGGCTTCGGGTTTGCAGTTTGTAGGGTTTAGGATTTAGGGTTTAGGGTTTTCAGTGTTTAGGGGTTGTAGTGTTCAGGAAATATATATCTTGTTTGGGGTTTCTTATAGCCCAAGGGAAGTGTTCAGCATTTTGTCCTTGTGCTCGGGGGAGTAGAGCGTAAGGGCGCGGCTAACGCCAAAACCTAAACTCGCCCACGAAAACATACCCTAAACCCCAAACCCCAAACCCCAAACCCTAAACCCCAAACCCTAAACCCTAAACCCCAAACCAGGAGCTCGACTACTGTGCCGACGGCTCCTGCGTGGCCGTCGCAGACACGGGGACGTCCCTGCTAGGAGCCATGGCGGCGGGGCCTGGAACGGGAGGGGGAGGGGAGGGTTGAGGGGTTGAGTTTAGGGTTATACACCAATTGTAGAATTTGGTCTGTTTTTTTTTAACCCCCCCATTGTTCAGCACGAATTGGAGAATTTGACCCATTTTGGCCTCTCCGACCCCTTTGGCCCCCCATTGTTCAGCACGAATTGGAGAAATTGAGCCATTTTGGCCTCTCCGACCCCTTTGATCCTCCATTGTTCAGCACGAATGAGAATTTGACACATTTTGGCCCCTCCGACCCCTTTGACCCCCCATTGTTCAGCACGAATTGGAGAATTTGATCCATTTCGGCCCCTCCGACCCCTTTGACCCCCCATTGTTCGGCACGAATTGGAGAATTTGATCCATTTCGGCCCCTCCGACCCCTTTGACCCCCCCATTGTTCAGCGCGAATTGGAGAATTTGATCCATTTCGACCCCTCCAACCCCTTTGACCCCCCCTGGTTCGGCACGAATTGGAGAATCTGATCCATTTTGACCCTTCCGACCCCTTTGACCCCAGCACGAATTGGAGAATTTGATCCATCGACCCCCTCCGACCCCTGAAATTCTGACCTCTCTAACCCTCCATGGTTCAGCACGAATAAGAAATTAGCAAGCTTTTATTTTCGTAATGTTATGGGGTTCTTTGGGCGGGTGGGTCTTGTTCCGTTGCCTACACACACTGCTGGCCTAGTAAATGCTCGAACTTGAGATGCTGATCCTAAACCATAAACCCTAAACCCTAAACCCTAAACCCTAAACCCTAAACCCTAAACCCTAAACTCTAACCTTGTTGAAGCTAAGGGTTTTTGCCTTTTGATTGGTTTGTGGGGTGTGGAAGAGGGAGACTGACACAAGAGTCTCCGGTAGTACATTGTGGTTTATTGGGTTTGGGTTTAGGTTTAGGGTCTTCGCAATCCCTGCATAGCACAAATCTAAACAACCCAACATACCCATAGGGTGTGGAGTCTTTCGTGGCCTTTTTCGTGTACCAAGTGGCAAAAGTTGGGGAACGTAATGGAGGTTTGCACGGCGCTTCTGATGCACGAGCCTTCGGGCAACAACCACGATTGAGCCTGCAAAGCATCATCTCAGCTGAGTTGCCTTCGGCTTCACGGAAGGGAAAAGCTTCAAGCAAAAACACCCAAACGAAGCTTTCGAGGAGCACCACGCCAGTTCTCTCAGCAGTTGCACCGTCTGCTGGCGCGACGGGTCCCCGAGAAGCCGGACCTCGCAGCTCGCAGTGGATTTGGTCTCGGGATGTCTCGGGCTTGTGGCCTCCTGTTGGAAGTTGAAGCGTTCGGGCATGCAGAGAAAGGAAGGGAGGGGGAGAGGGAGAGAGAGCGAGAGAGATAAGCAAAACAGATTCATTAAGACAATCTTGAGTGGCGTGCTGCGGTTTCAGCTTGTGTACCCTGTCGAGCGTTCGCGGGAGAACGCATAACACTTGAGCCTCCGTCAGTGTCTATCATGCTGCCGCCGGCCCTGTTCCTAAACCCCACTAAAGCCTAAACCCGTAAACTCTTAAACCCGCAACCCTAAACCCCTAAACCCCTAAACCTTAAAACTCTAAACCCCTAAACCCTCAAACCCTTAAATCTTTAAACCCTTAAACCCTTAAACCCCTAAACCCCTAAACCCCTAAACCCCTAACCCCTAAACCCCTAAACCCCTAAACCCCTAAGACCCCCCCAAGGACATGGACTGCCGAGACTTCCCGGGACCCGACATCCAGTTTGAGCTCGAAGGAGGCGTGACAATCACGTGGCCCGACCTGGGAGGGAGCCCCCTCCCCTCCCCTCGTTTAGGGTTTAGGGTTTAGGGTTTAGGGTTTAGGGTTTAGGGTTTAGGGTTTAGGGTTTTAGAGTTTTAGGGTTGTAGGGTTTAGGGTTCCCCCTTACCACGAACTAGGGTTTGGGGTTTAGTGTTTGGGTTTAGGGCTGCAACTTGCTATGAACCTCCGAGAAAGGGTTGGTTTTTTGGCCACCCAGAAAAAGGAGACTCGGGGGAGGGAGAGGGCGGTGGACGGGCAGCAAGAGGGTGGGGGGGTGGGGGTCGGGTTCCCAAAACTCGAATTTAGGGGCATGAGTAGTTAGAACAGTTGCCTTTTTTTTTTTTTTTTTGGGGGGGGGGGGGAGAGGGGGTTAGGGGGTTATTGTAGCATACTCATCATACGGGCCATGGGAATAAATATTCCTAGTTACTCCGACCCCTCTAGAGTGGGCGGCTTTGGGGCGTTTTGTGCCGCCTCATGCTTCTCAGCAGCTGTCTGAACATCTGCCTAAACCCTAAACCCTAAATCCTAAACCTTGTAGAAGGGGACGACGGAACGAATCGCTGGTGACGAGTCAATGACTGACTCTGGCCGCAACGTCCTGCACTGTTGTCAAGATCAGTTCTTCCGACACGTGGTCTGTCTTGTTGTTCTCCACGACAAATTCCTTCTGCTGTAGGATGTAGGAGTTGTGGCTACCCTAAAACTCCTGAAGCCCTAAAAAACCCTCTCAGCCCTCACCCCTAAACCCCTAAACCCCTAAACCCCTAAACCCCTAAACCCTACACCCTAAACCCCAGACCCGAAACCCTAAACCCTAAACCCTAAACCCCAAACCCCAAACCCACCATCTTAGGCTCGGCGGGCGGGAGTACTCCCGGCCCGCGCCGATGAAGGTGCCGAATGCGCAGGCGGAGCTCCAGGTCGTGTGCAGGGCCTCGCTTCTCGGGCCTTCATCGGGGTTCCCCCTTATAAGGGATTTAGGGATTAGGGTTTGGGTTTTAGGGTTTAGGGTTTGGGGTTTGGGGTTTAGGGTTGGTAGCAAAAAACCGGGGCGATACTCGTAAACTCCATAAGGGTTTAGGGCTTGCCGGTGGAGAGGTGTTCTTGTTTTTTTCTCCGAACGTTCCCTTCGCTGTGGGCTGGAGAGCCTTATTTGTAGATTCAGGAATATTCTCAGAGGGTTCATAGGGCCAACCCAGTACTTCTTTGCATCGCCAGGATGGGAATTGGGCTCCCTGGGCCCTAAACCCGAAACCCTAAAGCCTGAACCCCTTTGGGGCCCTAGAGCCGACACACCTACGACACCGAGGCTCCTGCCAGTGGATCCGACGCCGGCCCTCGGCGAAAAGGCCCGGCCGTCCTGGTCTGAAGGGTTTAGGGTTTAGGGTTTAGGGTTTAGGGTTTAAGGTTTAGGGTTTAGGGTTTAGGGGATGTCGTTGGTGTTTAGAAGCCTTGCAGTTGTATGGGGCAGGGTTGGCAAATTGCTTTGCAGCTCCTCCCTGTTGCGGTGCAGGGTGCAGGAGGTGAAAATAGGGCATATTGGGGCATGTTTGAAATTTCAAGTGTGGATGCTTCATATGAGATATAGGGGGTGGGACTTATTACATGGCCAAGCTGCAAACCCCAAACCCTAAACCTGACAAACCCTAAACTGCTCAGCCCTATAATCCGAAATCCTATAAAGCCGAAACCACTAAGCACAACAAAAACCTAAGCCCTCCAAACCCTAAACCGCGAAGCTCTAACATCTGAAACCCTTGAACTTACTAAACCCCTAACCCCTAAACCCGAAACCCTTACGTCATGCTTCTGAGCTTGTTGGCTTCCTGGCCAGGCTTTCATCCTCGGCGAGCCCATGCTGCTTGTCATAGAATACCCAGAGAACAGTTGAGGCCTTAGGCTTTGTAGGTTTCATTCACCATGTCGGGTTTTTAGCCTTAAACCCTAAACCCTAAACCCTAAACGCTAAACCCTAAACCCTAAACCCTAAACCCTAAACCCTAAACCTGAGCCTGAAGGGTTTAAGGCTCAGGGCTTCTCCAGTGGGCTTAGCAGTTTTTTGCAGTTCTTGCGCCTTGGG